CACGTGCCCACCCTGAAATTCAAAATTTCATTGATTAGTCACCTATTGACAATGCCCACCTTGAAAATTTATTGTTCCCACCCTAATATATGATGTCTATTTAATTTAGAATGACTCCAAACTCTACTAAACTAGTATTAAACATATATATTTTCTTTTAATTTTTCATTCTTCATCATACGCTTTTAGATGGAGTATGTTGCTCCCTGCTCTAAGAAAGATCTCTCACCATTAGGATCTTCAAATGAAAGTTATAAATATCAAGAGATCTACCCACTGCAGAATAGGTCTATAGCGGCATTTTTTAGTCCTATAGTGGCATTTTCAAACACCACTAAACGCCACAAGAAGCGCTGGCTAAACGAGCGTCGCAAGTGTTAGCGGCGTTTTTAAGGATAAAACGTAGCAAAATGGCAGGTTCTTTAGCGGCATTTTTTTATTCAAACACCGCAAGATGGCAAGCTCTTTAGTGGCGTCTTTACTCAAATGCAGCAAAATATCATGTTCTTTAGTGACGTTTTAATCCTAAAACGCCGCTAATCACAACTTATTTTAAAAATATTTTTTCTACTTTGTATACCCAAATTTAAGTTGTAACAATATCCAATAACAACCTAAATGTATTTACCCAAATGTATTTACGATTTCATTCAAGTAAAAATACATAAAATATGAATAAAACAAAGTTTACAAATATCCAACTGAAACGCAACATAGTTCACCTTTGTTCACTAGTAAAAACAAATCATTAACCTAAGAAATCACCTAAGATGAAGAATCCATCGCTTGATTCTGTTGCATCATTTTCTTCATAACTTCAAGTTGATTTTGAAGTTCTTCATATTTTTTTGGTATGTTGCTTCTTTATCTTCTTATCTTGCTTCTCTTGCTTCAGCTTTCGTTTGAGCAATTTTTTCATCCACTTCAGTCAAATATTGTTTTAATCGATTAACTTCTGATTGACAAGAATGGTTGTGTGATGACATGTACTGAGATGAGCTCGATCCAAAATATTTTGTTGGGGGTAACGAATGATTATTGTCCGCAAACTCGACCATATCTTTCAGGACCAAAAACTTCAACAATAACTTGATTTTCAATCTCATCCACATTAATATAACCATGAGATGAAGCTGTAGCTTCATACTCTGCCTTTTTATCACTCAATTTTTCCTAATAATCAATTAAGAATTTAGAACAAATTCAAACATTAATTAAAATAAAAATGTTAATACTATAAATATAAGTATAAAATTATTCAGATTTTAAAATAGTAAATATACCATAATTTATGCAGCTTCGAGAGCCATTTTTTTATGTGTCATTTTGAAGAGCTCTACTCGTCCAATTCTATTCCAAGATATAGTTTCCTACAATGTAGAATATAAATTAATACTTAGAAAAATAATAACAAATAACAGAAAAAATGCTTGTTACTATGTGCTACAATACATCATAATAAGCTATATCAGCAAAGCTATTTCATCCAACTGTGTGAGTAAACTTTTGTTGTTGTCTGCTAGCAATACCAATGTTCTCGCTGTTCTACAATTTGAAATTTACATGACTTATAAAGTTAATATTATAGTGACATAATATTATTTTTTAAAGTGCATCGTACCTCTCATTTCTTTGAACTCCAAAACCTGACTGCTTCTTCCCATTGATACCTGAGCATTCCAGGTGGGACATTTTGCAGCTTTTGTTCTAGGTTGAGATTATTCTTAAAATATTCATTTTTTTAAGGAACTCTTATGGTCTCTCCATTTCTTTCCTAGCGCTTGCTTCAAATAATTATCTGATACATCTAGAGAAAATTTATCCTATAAATGACACAAGTGTTAAAATTAAATATAAATTAATAATTAAATGCATTTAATTATCTATTACAATGAAATTATTACCTTAATACAATTCACAACTTGATTTTTGTTACTATTCGGTATATCACGTCATGACTTAAAATTGATCGGTAAAATATTAGCATTGCGTGAAACCACGCCTAAGCAACTAGCTAGAACACGTGATTCTGTCCCAATAGGTTAGCCGACATCATTACTTAAAACTATTACATGGTCCCCAGGAGAAAGTTCATATGATTCCTTCATTATTGTGCAACCTCTAGTCTTGTGCCTTTGACTATTTTCAGCTACATAAGAAATAATTCAGTGCAAGTTTTCAAAATCAAGTCGATAAAAAAACCAACCACCATTTAAATAAAGTATCAAACATTATCTTCAGTTTCTAAAGTTTTTTCAACTGCATTCGGAACTTTCGAATATCTATCATCAATTGATTCTTCATTATTTGTTTCATCCTCCTCCTAAGGAGATCGAACAATATGCAGATCATTTAATTTCCTCCAAGGCATAATATTTGCAATAAACAAATAACAATATTAGTAATTAGTTACAAGAATACTATTAATAAATATATTATAAATTAATCAATTAAGATATAAAATCTTACTACATTGTTGTATCATGTCAGTTTTCATAAAGATTTTCATCCATGTCATATCGAACCCATTGGAATTGTGAGCTAATACTAGTGATTGTTTCATCTAAATTTTGTGCGACAAAAGGCAAAGTTTCAATCTTATTTCAATGTCATCTCTACTTCCATCCCCGATGTCTATCAAATCTCTAAGGGTATTATGGACTACAACATACCAACCCTCATCCATTGGATCGTGGCAATAAAAACTTGTTTGACTTGAGAAGAAAATACATATGACTCGTCCATCAATTGTAGACCAGTGTGAATTAATCGATAGACATTCACCATTGTAAAACCTAATTGGTCTCTTTTAATGCCTCGAGAAGTAGTTACATCAACCCAATCACACCGAAATAACACAACCTTTCCTTTGCCATAATAATCCAACTCAATAATGTCTGTAAGGTTTCCATAATATTCTACATCTCCCTCCACATGATGATTATCTCTAGCACTTGCATAACTTGTAGTTGAAGAAGTAACAACTACTCCACAATTTTGTGTCCTCCATAATTTTTCACGAGATTTCGTGTGAAACCTGAACCCATTAATGAGGAAGACGTTATATTTTTTAACAATTCTATTTAGACATTGAGAAAGCCATTTAACCTCTTCACTAACTTCCCTCCCACTCCGAGCATATTATGCGTGAAAGATGAATTAGCTAGCATTTATATCAATACATTATTTATGTGTGGTGCTAAGATTTAGTTGTTTATCGTATGCCTTAACCATTCATGAAAAGTTTCTGTAAATAACTTATGAAAAGTCAAGGTGAATTTTTTTCTTTCTTTCGTTTTTATTTTTTTATCTATTTATTTAAATGACTTAATTGAGATTTTCGCATGTGTCGGTGTTACCAACAAGAATCGTAAAGCAAGATGAGAAATAAATTGATTGTTAACAAGCCACCATTTTCGTTTTTACATGTGTTTAGTAAGGACAGTTATTGGGGTTGATGTGATGATTGATTCAACTTAAGTTGCTGAAGCAAAGATCCGAGTAGGTGTTAGATTAATAGTTAGTTTGGGATGACGAAAGGAATGGTCAGTGAAGATGATGCGATTATTAAAAATATGATAAAATAAATCAGGTGAACAAAACATGATTTCCACTTCAAAGAAAAACAATTCAAATTAACAAAATATAAGTTATGTCATTACATCATGTATGATTTCACTGTAGAATCATAAAAATAGTAATAATGTCAAAATTAAGTGATATTTTTAAGATTTAGTGATCAAAACTAGAGTAGAATTAAAATTGAGTGACGAATTTTATAATTTAACATAAGTAACATAAATACATGGGTAAACCTAGCCCAATATACTAAAAGTAGCCCGTATAAAAGGAAACGTTAACTAAAGCAAATATAAATGGAAATCAAACATGTATCCATGTTTGTCAAGTTAATAATTTTTATTGGATTTAACTAATTGAACAGACCAACTTTAGGACTATCCAAAATATTGATGGGTTAATTATTAAATTTTAGAAAGTTTATGGGTTAATTCAAACTTTTATTTGTATAAACCTAACCGGATACTCTATCGTAGTATGACTCGCCTTGTGTGAGGTGAGTTAAAACGCGGACAACAGCCTGAAGTGGAGTGCAATGACATCATTGTATTGATAGCCAAAAATGTTGGAGCAGAAAAGCCGCTAAAATGGTGTCAAGTACTTGTCGCATGTTATAGCCATAAGCTATAGGGAATTGAAAGCTGTAAAGCTTCACAAGGATCCCGTTTCATGTTAAATGAATGATGCACCGAAATGGCAACCCATGTCTGGACTAGTTACATTTTGAACTAATCATAAAGTTTAATTTTACAGATTTAATATATTATTTATTATTTCTTTTATTAAAATCTGTTAATTTATTGGTCTGATCAAAGTATCGCTTGTCACCTTTCTATTGATTCATTTTTTAATGGAGTTACTGATTAAAGGCAATTTGAATAACACAATTAACGTTAGGGGCACTTATGATAAAAATAAATTAATGTTAGAAACTTCAGATATAAGTTCGGAAAACAAACATATTTTAATAGTAAAATATAATTTTTTTTATAGAATTTGGTAATTTATAAAATGTATATGCGTCATCAATATGCAAAGGAAGAAAGGGTCTCTTAAGTACCAAGTGGTGGTTTTGAGACATTTATGCCTCATATGCTTAGGTCTAACCAATCCGCATTCCAAGGTCCATGACGTCCCTACCTTGGCATTGCAGGAGACGGGTTGAAATTCAGGTGTTGCAACACCAGAATTACATTGAAAAAGAAGAAGAAATTATTGAACTTCTGCTTCGAAATCATTGCCCTTTGGAGTTTTAAGCCAATACAAATCTGACTAGGAGAAATCTACAATGAGATGAGGATGTATTAACTTTAAAAACATTATTTACTACAAAAACAATATCAGATAATAATTCAATTATTAACCTAAAACCATCCAACTGCTCCCCCATGTTTCTGAAGAATGTAGTAATATGAGGATGATACTGCACTTAAAACCCTGAAATTTCCAATTATCAAGCTGTTTTTTTTATAAAAAAAACTTCTAAATTAATGTTAAACTAAAGAAGCAGTCATGGACATCTTAAATTCCATTATACTTAATGGGAAACATGGAACACCCAAGTATAAAGGTGCTTAATAATCACTCGGTTTTAGAATCAGGACAGGTTTTTTCGTACAAGCTATAGATAAGTGTAGACCTAGACATTTGGGGCTCTCTTTCCAGAGCTGCAATCACATCCTTAACCGAAATAGTACGCGCCACTCTTGTATTGGGTGTGAGAATCACCCCCTGTTTCCGGCCAAACTTCTTGCTTCCCCCTGTTAAAAGAAAGTAGAGTGAAAACAAAAGCTAATATATGATAACTTTGTAACCCAACATAATCCACGGGAATTAAAAGTTGTATAATGATACTTTTGGAACAGGCAGTGCAGGAATGATTTAATCGTTGCATTAACACCTTACAAAACAAGTGGTATAGCTAGATGTTGACCAATTTCATACAAGTACATTTGCTTTACATAGTTATTCAAATGCTCAAAAATGACAGTAACAGATAAAACAAATTTCCTTTCCATAAAATCAATAAAAAAGAGATCGAACTTCCTAATCGTTTAGTATCTTAGTATATGCAATTGTGTATTGCTGTCAGGTTTACAACCCCGCATTGCTTCTATAATTCAATACTTGAATCAGTTCCATTGATGATACATAATAGGAACCAATTCCAATTTGCTCAGATGTATACCAGCTTTCATGACCATGCCATCTAATGTTACACATGATGAACCTTACAACCATATTAAAGAGTTAAATGCATCAAACTAAAATGGAGAAGAGATCTAGTCATGAGCCAAGGTTTTACCAGATGCATGAGGACTGCGTGGACCCCTTTTTTCAGATTCTTGATTGTCCTTTGTACTCTTCCCAGATACAGATGAAACCCTGCGGTTCACATCTTTACCTTCTTGTGAACCAGATGTTGCATCAGTTCCCCCCTCACGTTTCTGGCGAGCTTGCTCAGCCATAAGTTGCCATTTTGACAGCATGTCATCCCCTCCATAAGCAGCGCGTGCAGCGACATTTGCAGCAGTGGTCCTATTTTTGTCATCCTCATCCTTGTTTACCTAAACATCACCATAGAGTTACTCCTCTTAGTTAGATGATTAACATACAACGTTCAGAAAATTACTTGTCGATAATACCTTCACAACTTTTGCTCGACTTTCATCGGTCTCCTTGTCACCATCAACAGCATTCTCTGCCACAGGCTGCAACCACATATATTTAACACATACTGTGTTAAGGAATAAATTATACAGCATGCCCAATCTTATGTATGTCAGTGCATTATTAATTCCCTGTTTTGAATGTACTAAAGATAATCATATTATGTAAACAGAAACAGCACCCACTTCATTAAGATTTCGGAGCTTCTCCACCTCAGCCTGCTTTTTCTCCCATTCTCCCCTAGCATTCTGGTTCATCATCATAATTTGCTGACGGACATCTGATGTGATAAGTGTACGGTGCCTAGGCTTCTCAACATCAACACGCTACAAGAGATTTATTCAAATTAGAAAGATATAACGAATATTCATGTTAACTGAGATAAACTGAGACAGACCTGTTTCGACAATCTGATTAAATTGCATATAAGCCCCCGCATTCTTTCCTCCACACTCTAGAGACTCAGTTACATGAGGAAATGCATAAACTCAATATAAAGAAAAGGGCCAAGAAGCTAGCATCTCACCAGGGACAAACATTGTTCCACATCGTTGCTTATATTCTTCAAACCACTTTTGGCCACTGCAAGAAGACAAAGAAAACCATGACGTGATAATTGCTTAAAATGAAAAGCAGAACGTAAGTGTATGACATAGAAGGACTTGGGACCAGGGAGGTATAAAGAATATTAACTAATTTCGGCCAATTTCTTCTGCAAAGGGGTTTTCTTCAAAAAAAGTCTTTCTTCTTCCTCTTGCACAACCTTTCTAGATGCTTCTGAAACTTGACTCTCATCCTTGGGGCCAGATAATAGTTGCTCTTCTTCTTCCTATTTAATAGCATAACATAAAAAGAATGGCCTTTTTCTTCTAGGGACTTCGTAACTACTTAATAATTAAATTTAGGCAGATATGACTATAAAGCATCATACCCTGAGATTGACTCCACTAACAGCAGTGACATCATTTAGTTGTTCAATGCTCTGGTCTGAAAATGCTCCAGAAACTTTTTGCTTCTTGCTGTAGGAACCCATTGAATATGGACAAAAACTTATTTAAAAGGTAATATCAAGAAGGAATCAAATGAATTTCAATTGATCCTTAATAATCATGCCAGACAATCAAGTAACAGAGAGATTAATTTAACCTTGAAGGTGGTGGAGATGAACCAAGGGCTTCCAGTGGTTTTTTCTGGCCTAGAGAAGGCTTTTTTTGCGGGGGTCTCGCATTGACCCCAACTGGAGCAGGCACAGATGGATTTCTAGACCCCAACTGATAAAAACACGAAAGCAGAAAAATTGACAAAAGAAACAATCATAAGAATGTGCTTCACCGGGGAAAACAATAAACCATACAAGTTTAGAAGAAAAAATAATATGTATATAAATTTAAATCAAGTGAACTGAATAGAAAGTAATCTCAAAATCAAGAACAGTGTCATATATATAATTGCATGTTTAGAAGACCCTGTTTTGTAGCACTGATTTTGGGAAGTTTGCCTAATCTAATGCAAAGTCAGAACAACTAAAAAGCTAAGTCTAATAAGTCACCAAAACAGCTCATGATCCATTTACATGGGTCAATGTCAGTTGCCGTCAAATTGATTATAAATCACAATCCATGTGTATATGCACTTCATAACAAAAATAAGGCGACACTCCAAGATGGCAAACACCTGATGCATAAATTTGCATGTGAACTTTTAAAACAAAGTGGTAGGCATCACCAAGAGCTTCCAGAAACATCCATCAAGATATCACAATAAGAAAACATATACTGAGATGAGAATACTGGTACATTAGAATCCATTTGTGCTGTGATGGAAGGTGTTGAGAAGCCAACTCTGGAAGATTGCTTCTCTCCAGGCTCATCATTTGGAGTATTTCCTAGTGTATTCGACGCTCCCTGGATGGCAGACAAATGAGGTCTGTGCTGGCCAGCACCTTGATCAACAGATTCCTGTTTCACATATGCTGCTGATGACAAAGGGCTGGGATTCAGCTCCTTACTTAGTGAGGTTTGCCAAGGAGCTGAACCACCTGAAAAGTGAGAGAGAGGTGCGTCCTGCAATCTATTTGGGTCATTACTAGAGTTCTGCCTCTCAAGTTTAGGTCCACTCATCATGTTCATTGTCTGGGTTGATCCTCCAACAGGATTTGATCCCATGCTTTGGTGAGGTGTGATTTGCCTCATTTGTGAATCATGAGATTGCGGCTTTAGAGTCGAACCTGACGTATTAACATTTGGCCCAGAATATGTGTGATAACTATTACTCCCGAACATGGAGAATGAATTTTGTGGAAAATTCAAATGCTGTTGCTTGTTAATTCCTTGCGGCGGAATTGAAGAACGACCACCTTCTTGATTCAAAGTGGTTGAACCGGAGGATGAAATTTGACTACCTAGCATTCCAAAGCGAGAGTCTGATTGGCGATCAATCTCTTGAGACTTTTGAGCCTTGTTTTCACCGGGAAAATAACTTGAATTAATCTGAATGGGGACTGCTGGAGAAGGGACATGAGTTGAATTTGCAGGAGAATTAGGACTCTTTTGGTGCAGCTGAGTTAATGAATGTGGTCCAGCGAATTGTGTGGCACCACCAACAGATGGCATCCGGGGAGTATTTGGTCGTGCTCCAGCATGGGACTGTAGCGGGGACTGATTGGATCTCATCTGAAATTACAGATATTGGGTTTTAGCTTGTTTTCAAAATTAACAAGCACTCAACTAAAGCATCAGTTTTTACTTTAATAAAATGGGACATTTGAGCTCACCTGCGCTTGTAACTTGTTAACTGCCAACCTCAGCATCTGGTCTCCTACAATATCTCTCATGTGCCTGACAAATCCGTCTTTTGCAATTTCATTTTTCTAACAGGTAGAGCCAATAGAAAAATCAGGAGACATAAAAGTCCATTCTGTCTATTGTGCCCATTACTAAATAATTACAACAGTTAAGCAAATGGGTTGATATTAGAAATCCACCTTTAGTTTATCATACAGAGTATGAAGCTGCATGGCTCTGTCTTTATCAAGTTGGGGCGATAAGGCAGGCAACAACACGGCAAATGGAACTTGTTTTCCTCGATTCACGGGATTATTTGGATGCGCTGCTCCACTGGACTGTAGATTACTCATCTTCTGTAATTTTGCATATTGTGATTCACTTTCTTTATTACTGGTTCTCTCAGGTTCAAGTGGGGTAGGACTTTTTTCAGTAGTCTGAATCCCAGTCGTTTGAGAAACCTGGGGAGGAATTTGTTCAGTTACTCCTTGTTGACGAACATCTTGGAGTTGTTTTTGTGGCGGTAGTAGACGATTATGTTCCAGCTGAACATCATTTTGCAGTTGTACTTGTTGCTGACTCCCCGTAACAGCAGCTCCCCCTTGCTTTTGCTCCATCTCAGATGAAGTCTGATGTTGCTGCTGTGAACTTTGAAGGACTTGTTGATTTTGGAAGTTGATGTTTCCGTCTTGCCCAGGGATCGGCCATGATGCAGGATTGCTTCCTTGAGATAAAGATGCTGTATTTTTCAAAACGAGGAGAACCAATTCATAACCAACAATTGCAATTATTAACACAAATGTAATGCTAATGACACTCTCAACTAAGATATTCTAAACATTAATAAACAAAATAACTGAATTCCACTCTAAAGATACTATTTATAAAATCAAATCTAGTCACTTAGTCTAGCAAATTAGAAGCCAATGAAGACCGAAAACCAGAAAAGAAGATACCAGTACATGAACCAGAATGCTGAGAAGTCGGCGCATCGCCTTCAATATCTCGATTCAACGCAGCCTGGAAAGCCTCAACGTCAGCTCCAGAATGCGTAGACTCGTCCTATTAACAGTGTTTAAAAAAACAAATTGGAAAATAGATTAAATAGCCTTCAATTATTACGAATTCTATAGATATTGAAGAGAGTAAAAATAAAACCCAAAACAAAGAAAAACCTCGTCTTCTTCAAGGAGCTTTACTATGGAAGGGTCCATCACGAGCTATACGGGCAACCGGCTGCCATTGCCTCTGACTAGAAGGCCGGTGAGCGGAAATCGTTCAACTTGCCGGCTTGTAATAATGTATAGAAATTCAAATTAAAATTATACGAAAAAAGAAAGACATTGAGAAGAAAACAATTAAGAGAAGTTCACAAGGGAGTAGTAGCTTTTATTGTGAATCGAGAAAAGGAGGAAAGCGTTTAAGATTGTGGTTCTTAGCTTATGAAGACCTTAGTAGGCCTATACTGAGTGGGCTAATTTTGGATCGGTAAACTTGGTTCGTGATGGTCTTAAAAGCCCATTATGAGCTCATATTAGAGGGTTTAAAAAAAGCCGTGGGTTTAAATGAAACACATGTCTTCTTAAACTATAAATATTAGGATAAAGTACACAAATGATCCTTCGACTATAAAGTACTATTTTTCTGAGTTCTTAACTATTAAAAATTATAAAATAATCATTCGAATATAGGGTACTACTTTTGTTGAGTCATCGATTACTAAAAGTTATAAAATAGTAAAATGACTATTCATATGTTCAAAACTCTTACTTTATCGTTAAAAAAATTGATGATTGCTGAGTTGGACGTTAACTGATTGAGATATGGTAAAATCATATTTTAATGATGTTTACTGGCACCGTCATTATTTTCAATCACTGACTCGATGATATAATGTTTCAAGCCTTGGGTCAATGGTATAATTTTTCAAGTATTGACTCTACAACATAATATAAGCAAAGACTCGATCCACAAAAATAAAATTCAAATAAATATGAGATAAGATTTTTATCATATTCTAGTGAGCATGTTAACGTTCAGCTTAGACGATCGTCAACCTTTTAACGAAAAATGAAGAGTTTGGAACATATGACTAATCGAGTAACTATTTTGTAACTTTTAATAGTCAGAGAACTCAACAAAACAATATATTATAGTTAGGGGACCGGTTTAATAACTTTCAATAGTTGAGAGACTTAACAAAATAACATTCTATATTCGAAGGTACTTTATCCTAAATTTTAATATTTTCTTCTTTTTTTCATTTCATATTTTAAGAATAAAAGTATAGTGGGTCCTTTTAAGTAAAAAAATACTGAAGAGGATAAAATCAATTGCTCGTCTAAGAGCGTGAAGGAAAGACCTCGGGTTTCTTAAAGTGTAAGAGGGAAAAAGAAAAGAAAGAACTTATAAGCAGTTAGGACCATAACTCGAAAGTGAAAAAGATAAAATTAGATGATGATGAGGGAGAATGATACGTGTCCTCAAATGTACATAAAACTTTAACATCAAATTGTGGAAGAAAGATTGAGAGGCAAAGTGAAAGGAGAAGAAAAACAGTAATCAATTCCAATCTCCATGAAAAGAATAACATACAGAAGAGTGATATGAATATTACACAATATACAATTAGAATTGCAATCAATAAAACCACAGGGGTTCCGAGATTGGTAGATATAGTGTTTCCGATTTCAATAAATCAATGTAACAAAGAGGCAGCAAGACATCCAACTAGAACAGCACTCTCCAATGTAACCCCAAAACGGCTGCCGGATTGTTAGTTGTACAATTTTGATTTCTACAAAATCAATGTATGATAACTAACAAAAGGCAGCAGGACAGGCCAAGTTCAGAAATCTTCATAACCTACACAGATGGCAAAGTGCCCGAAGTTTCTACCCTGAATACAAGAGCAACAAACATTAACCGGTCAATGGTGCATTTGGTTGTCAAACACTCGATCAACTTCATATGGAAGACACTTATACCTCGGATAGCATTCGTTGCTTGTTTAATTGCTGAGTTCTTGCCTTGTTGACAACTGAATTCGGTGATTTGTATATTCTCTGTATTAAAGAATCAGTGTTAATTTCATACCTTTTGTCATGTCCAAATACAGTAATCTGGATAAACAAAGTAGGATTTGACCTTTCCAAAGTTGGATATATGTTCATCGGCTACAAGATTCTGTCTTTTCGGTGTGAACCTAAAAACATCTTGAACGAATTCATTATTCTGCACAAAGAAACAATTATTTCTTATAATCCACATGAAAAAAAGGCAGGCAATTTGCATCAATAGATATCAATCTCTGAAAGAGCATCAACCTGAGCGTGATTAGTGAAACCTCCACCGAGAAAGCGCTTCAAAAAGTTCAACTGTTGGATTGAAATTTGAGAATACAATTATAAAAAATCCATGGCATGTACCCAACATAAATTGGAGAATTAGAAGAGGAAGAGTAACCTGAATCAACTTAGACCATGTTGATGTATGAAGTGTATCCTCACCGATCTTCATCGATGTCTCGGGAGAAAAATCATACTGACATCACACAGTGAATCAAAGTTAGCATGATTAGTCAGAAGAACCATATATTGGTGGGAATTAAAGATAAATATGAGTACCTCAAGGAACTCCAAAACATCCTTAAACAAACTCCTCTGGTTATTAAGATCTTTCTTGGAAGAACCTTTACCACCAGCTTCCACAGAGAGGTCACGGACTTGATTCAGAATTTTTTCCTTCAATCCATGCATATGTGAGAATCCTTTTGATTTATTTCCTTCTGAAGCTGAACCATCACATGAACCTTTAGCTTCACATGCAAACTTCTCTAAGCTTCCTCTCTCAAAAATCAATGCCAGTGCTTCACCAGCAGCAATTCGCACCGATCGGTCATCTTTATCTAGCAAACTAGACAAATATGTAACTGATCTGCAAGACATATCGAGACCAGTTAGACTCTTAGCCCAAATAAATTTTCACCTGTTTGTGTTGCTATATTATTGTAGGACTGAAAATAATACGAAGTTCATTGACCTATTATATAAGCTTTAAGGGGTGGTAAAGACAATAAATTATCAGATTAAAAAAATGGAAAACGTATGATCTAGAGAGGTCACTAACTCTTGCCACTGTTTAGGACTGAGTCTCCATCCATCCATGGTTGTCAAGAGAAATGACCAGGCAGACACAGCCGCTGTTATTACAGCAGCAGTTGGTTTGACAGTAATAACCTACAAAGTCAAACAAATCTTCAAATAAAGCAAACATCGTGTTTCGACATTAACAAGTTGCAAGCAATATCTAATGTGTGAACCTCGAATAAATTTATCAGATGCCTTTCAATTAGTGTAACTCAGGCATGTATACTTACATTAGAACTTAATTTCGGGTGAACTAATTGCTGCATAATTTGCATTGAATTTTCTATTTCCTCAGGATCATTCCCCCCAACAAAAGTGATGACCGCCAGGCAATTGAGTAACTAGAATAAGAAACCAGATCATTTAAAAACCAGACAATTGAGTAACTTAATTTTCGATCCTTGTTCAATTTCATCATACCGAAATGATCTTAGAAGATTCTGAGCAGGATTTAAAAGCCTGTGAAAGAGGATCGATCGATTCTTTCAATATTTTGTGTGCATTATCTCCCGGACCGACAGTTAAAGCCAACAAACCTACCAAGAGAAATTGTCAGCTTGACTACTGAAGCCTAACGTTTTCTTCAGCTCATATGGGCATGAGCATTTTCCAAGGTTATCAACATTAAGCATTCAAGACTGACCAACAGAACGTGATGCTAAAGCTATCTCTTTGCTGGACCCTTTCTTGATACAATTCAGACACTGATGAAGTATTGTAGCAAATCTGGAGAACAACACCAAATAAATGATGTGATAGAGTCAAGTTTTCAACCATATATTATGAATCATAGGAAACATTTCCAGCTACAACCTGTAACCATGCAGGTACTCCAATCGGCAATGCTCGAAGATCAACATAAACCGTGACAGAGAAAGAAGGATTCAAAATAACAGGCACTTACTTATTCTCCACAAATTGGTTCTGCAAGTTGAAACTAAATGCTGCATTAATCACTTCCAAAGCCTTCTCTCTAGTCGAACCCCTTAACCAACAAAAAAAAACAGGAATTCAGCATCATTCAAATCCAAAGCGTTAATAGTGAAAAAAAGAATGCTAGCAAAGTAACTAATTTCAGCTACCTTAACCGTAGCTCGTTCCATTCACTATAACAAACAAAGACGATTCAAATGCATCGTATTTTAATCCAAAAAAAACAATTATTAGATACCGGAATAACCAAATACTAGCCTCTTCTCGAATAAAGCGTCGACTGCTTCATCAAGTAAAATATCCTTATAGAACACTGCCCCTTCGGCACCGGAAAGGGGTATTTGATCGGAACGAACGGTCGATGATGAAATTACACTACAATTATCATCGTCACTATCTAACTTCGCCGAATTCTTCCGCTGAACTCTACCTGCCAAATTCAAATAATTCGTTTCTTTCAGCTAAAAAACGAAGTCATTCCAGAAAAACAAACAGCACCAGACAAACCCCAAAACAAATTATCATTCAACAATTAATCATATCATTCTGGAAAGATAATAAAACAATTGCGAAAATTAAATGTTAAAAAGTTAAATGAAAGGTAAAAAAACCCAATAATAAAAAGAAAACAGGAAAGAAGATTCTTACGTTTTCCCATGTTGCTGAAGCCTCTTTAGAATTATTTTTTTTTGGGTCAGACACAGGTACGAGATTGACCAAGAATCTGATGAAATGACTCAGAATCTAAAAAACAACCGACAAAGCAAAACTGAAGAACCGAACAAAACAACGAAGACGACGAAGACAATGACGACGACAAAAGTGAATCGAATAACAATGCACCCACTAAAATTGATTCTTTTTATATTAAAAAGTTAATTATTTTGATTGGAGGAGAAAAGTGTTCAAATTATAGAACAATGATAAACAAATTTTGGACGTAAAAATTTAGAGCATCCTTTTATAGGTAAAAAGGTTAAGTTTGGGGTTTAGGGATTTGGTCTATTGTGGAGAGACTAATTGAATTTGTACGGATAAAGTTATATTTGTTTTTGTTTATTTAATTTTAAATATATTCATGTTTTATTTGTGTTTGATTAAATTTAAAATATTATATATGTGCTCATTTATTTATTTTTGAATATTTTTTATTCATTCGTTTAATGTTTGTAAATATATTTATTTAACGTTTGTTTAATGTTTGACAACCAACACTCTTTTTTCTCTTTAATTTGCAAACAAGAAAATGAAATTATGCCACTAGTCTTTAAGTTTTTTAGGTTTCACAATTTGAACTCAACAAATACGTATGAATTTGATCTGAATCTTATTCCCAAATTCATCTCATGAATATTTATCAAATTTTATATCAACCTTAATTTGCTATTCTTCCCACAATAATCACCGATTAGAGATATTTAGACTAATTAACAATACTATTTGGGGATATTAATAATAAAATTACATTCAAATGATAATAATAAAATCAATCATCAAAATATCATGCTCATACAAAAGGCCTAGGGCACTAACGCTAACAACAAGGGTATCACATACCTTTTTTGTTCGTGTTAGATAAACACGCACACTGTCACCACATTTCTTGAGAGATTGAAGTTTGTAATGAAGATTCATCACAACCGTGGCAGATCTATTTGCAAAGAACTAAAGAACATTGCTTCATACGGTACTTATCATTGCTGCTCCAACAAACTGAGAGATGAGATGATTGCTAATCGTCAAAAGGTGCCATGAAACAAGGGCATTATCCTGAGCAAGGAAATCTTCAGTCATTATTTCGAATCGTTTCATCAGCTTCATTAACAACTCTCTAGTGGAGGTCTCATCGAACTCGTCAAAAATCGCTAAAGTCGATGACTCTTGATCGTGAATAGCACATGTTATTTCTACAAAAGAATTTGTTTCATCGAGAATAACAACCACTTTCTTGTTGGAAAGCACTTCGGTGTTCTTTGAAGAAAATTTCATCTCATGGAAGAGGCATCAACCTACGATATCGTAACAACTAACCCAAAAGACACATAGCAACATAAGCTTAAAGAGAAAAACCCAAAAAACTAGTGAATGATACCATATTAAATAACCAATGAAAAAGAGAGACAAAAAATGAATGAACTTTATTATCTCTAATGTTTTACACATACATACAGACAACATTTATAGCTAGGCCATACAGTTAACCTGACAAACTATTAGTTTTAACAAATCAACCACCCTATAACTTAGCTAATGCGTGTGTATCAAATGCCAACTCTACCTCCAATAGTCATGTGTTTCATACGTTAACTCTACCTCCAATATCAGTGGAATTCAAAGCTCGAGTGCTTGTGCAAGTAATTGTATATTATGATTTGAAGAAGAAAAGATTACAAAAGAGAAGAAAAGGTAAAAGAATTCGAAAGTTTTATTATTCTCTTTCATAAAACCCCTGAATATGTACTGCAAAGTTACTCCCTCTGACTGAATATGTACTGCAAAGCATATAAGAAAGTAATATCTCTCCAGGTACTCCATAAAAAATGGAAGTGATACTTTCCTCTTCATCTCCTCCAATTGACGAAGAATACTGTTGTGATAGGTGACAATTGTTTCTCTTGAGTTTTGCACAGAAGCACATTTGTCAATGACCTTGTCCACTTGCCTTTTCCCCCAACATCACCTTCTAGGACCCAAATTAAATGTAATATAACTGCACGTTCTCCTCTACGGATTGCTCTCATGGAATTGGGCAGAACTTCAGTAACATAAGAACGAGACTAAAAAATTATCTCCATTAAATTGGTTATTGAAATGCCTTGTGTGAGTCGGTTGCTCGCTTCTTTAAGAGCCATAATAGACTCAATGTACAACTGTAAGGAGCATGTTCTAGCATTGGTAGAAAGTATCACCTTAGTTTCGTTGTATCCCCGTTGTTCACCAAAACCACTTGAATCAAAACCAAACACCGCACTTTTGGCCCCTTTGATAGTGAACCCACATTTGATGAATTTTTCATCACCCTTGCAAAACATAAAATTTCTAAAGAACTCCCACAGCTTCCTTGGTCTCTCCTTATGCAAGATCACATGCTTAACACCTATAAGAAATATATACCCACACGTAGACATAACTTGGAAGAAATCATATCCATTCTAAACTATTTCAAGCTCAACTCTGCTTCCGTCCAACTCAAGTAACTCAACTGCAAGGGAAAAGCTTCTGGTAGCTTCATGTAATTCCCAAACAAGACAACTTACCCGAATGAATTCTATTACTAAAAAACCAACCTTGGATAGTAGAACATTGGAAAAAACTGCTGACAAAGGATTTCGAGATATACCATTTGAAGAAGTGTAACCAATAAACCATAAGCCAAGTAATTTGCTTTTAGTTGTCATGAAATGATGTCCCTGCAACCTTTGGTAGAAATTTGAACCATGTAATGCACTTGAGCTATGCTTCTAGTTCCATTTGATAGTGGATTTAAAAGCTTGTGTGCAATAGAAGAAACGTGGCAGTGAAAGGAACAAATAGGCCTCTAAAATGTCATGAAACAATATTATAAAAGCATTGAAATTGTTCCACATACCGAACTTCAATATAACAAAATTCATAAAGTATGATTTTTTATTCACACTCAAATTCCTGGCAATTGAAATTATACTTCTCCCTAGCAACAAAGCCAAAACAAATAAGGATAAAATATCTCAACATATTCATTGACATTTATAAACAACCTAGAATAAATTTCTCCAATCATCGAGAGAACTAGATAATGCACTGAGTTACCAGCTTGTTGACAATGTAGATATTGATCAACATTTTCCTTTGAAGAGGAACCAACTAATTGTTTTTGGGAGTTAGAATTGTTTGAATCTCACCATCAAAGATTCCGATGAATCAACTTCGATTGGCGTAAGAGTAGCCACTTAAACCGGTGGGTGTAAACCTTGAGTTTCCAATGAGACTAATTTGGTATATTCCACTAAAGTGTCGTTTGAATGTAATTGGGAGGTAACTCTCATGGTGTCGTTCATAGATGGAAATACAAAATCAGCTAATCTTGATGGCATTTTATCACACACCATGGTTTTAAATAGCGTTCGCGGTCGCGTCGCATTTATCGCGGTCGCGGATATAACGGATGTCATTGCGTTCATTGCGGGTGTTGCGGTCGCGAATTTTTTAAAATTTTGCACAACTTATCTTAAAATATAATAAAAATAATTATAATTATAGGAATAATTTTTAAAGATTTTTAAAATGATTAAATCAAATAGAATTAAAATAAAAGTGTAAAATTTAAATATTTGAAATTTTGATTACTAAAATTAGGACTAAATTAAATGAAAATTAAACTTTACTATCTAAATTAAGAATTAAATTAAAGAATAAAAAAAGAATTAAGAATTAAATTCTAATGCTAACTCATAAATCTTAAATAAAATATATGACAATATTATAAGTTTAGATTCTTTAGAACCTAGCTTGTAAAACAAATTTTCTTCACTGGTGAATGAGATAATTTTACCTATTTTTTAATATAATTGACAAGCCCCTGTTCCCATTTCTCTCATCTTCTTCACTAGTTTAGTTTAGTTCTTCGTTTCTTCTTCCCATCCCCATTCTCCAGTTCAATCTTATTCGTTTCACCCTCACCCATTTCACTCTTCTTCAGTCTTCACTGAATGGAAGATTGCATATTCAAAACCCCAAATCCCCGAGTGAAGATTATATCTTCAATCTTCCTAAGCTAAGCAGGAAAAAAAACTTTTACAGTTTTACCTTCTTAAATGGAAGCGATAAGTTTGATCTACTCCTTTACCGGCGGCGAAGCTCGACGGACAGAAGACTTCATAGTTTCTACTGACTCGCTTTGTTTTTTTGGCTCTTCCCCTTCCCGATTAGTTTTTGGTAAGATGCGTGGGTAATGGGTATTTGATTCTACCGTTCACTAAATAGTTTTGTCTATATTCCATTCATTTTGATTTTTGTTTTTGTATACGGTTGGTTGAGTGCTTGATTGCAGACGAAATGTTTATTTTTGTCTTTGTCTTGGAATCACGGTTGAATAACAGTTGATGCGTCCCGTTATCGGCGCAATCGTCCGTTTCCCATTATATCGCGAACGCAATTGACCGATATTGGTGTGAATCGGTGACCCACAGCAAAAACCATGAAAAACGATTTCGGACGGTGGCGCGACCGCTATATAACGGCCGCTATAGAGTTTTCGGAACGCTATTTGATACCCTGTCACACACTTCAGGAATAGTACGTGTTCCTTTGAATTCCACAGATGACACATTAATTGATCGTTCATAAGTCATCTAAACTGGAACTGGTTTAGAATAATCGAAAACACTCAAACTAACCTCGTGAAGCATTCTGACCTGATTTTTTTTTTCCAAATTCTATTGATTGCTTGCAGGTGGGGATTGATTTTTCTTCTCTTCAGCTTTCACCTTCAGAGTCGAGATTCTTTGGAGGCATCTCCTGGTTTACTCTGATTTAGTTTCCAAAATCTTGAATCTTTCTTCCCACTCGTTTTCCTTCTTTTTCCACCATTTTGGAATTTTAGTATCTTCTTTGTCTTATTGGGACTGTTCTTGAATTTCTTATTTTTTGTTCTCGTCTATTCTTATTGTTTTTCTGTTTTTATCTAGTTTGCAGGTGGATTGACCCCAAGGAAGTATAACGAAAGGGAGGGGGAAAAAGAAGGTAAAAAGAAGAAAAACCTTGCTTTGATTACCAATTGTTGTGATTTGAAGAAGAGATTACATAAGAGAAGAAAAGGTAAAAGAATTCTGAAGTTTTATTATTTCCACTTTCATAATAATAACCCCCGAGTACAATCAAATCCTTTATATACAACTAATTACTCTACATGATCGTTTGCAGAGTCAACAATAATTGAGGACAAGTCAACTAATTACAAACTACTGG